AACGATTGAAAATTGGCGCCCGTAGCCGCTCAGCGATGAGTCTTGACTCACCACCAGTATGAATGGAAGCCTCCTTGAGTAGTCCATCCTAAATCTCTCTAAGCATCTCATTCAGTTATACTCTTAGCCACAAAATGGCACTACTAAACGTTGCATCTTAATTGGCAATATAAATTTAGTGTTTATACGCATATATATTTATATATTGTTTTTTCATTTCTTTTTCTCTAAAATTAATTATTTTAATTTTTTTTTGTCTAAAAAATAAAAATTTTATATCTTTATATATATTGTACATATATAATATGAGTGACTTAGAAATTTTGTCTCGCATTATGCGTATTAGCGTTTTGTATAAACTTTCTCATAAAAATCATATGAAATATACATGCGATATCGAAACGTTTCTATTTCATAATTTTGTATTCCGTATTTATGAAATTTCTTGTTCTTGTTTCAACGTGGATTATTTTGATCATTTTGCTTCGAAACTGATTTATTAACTCTCGAGCTTTTGTATTTTGTATTACAATAGTAGTACAGTAGTAGTACAGTATTTTAATAAATTATTAACTTAAATTTATTGAATAGGGACATAAAACATGTAGAAAAAGCGATTTTTTAGAGATTATTTCCGATATCGATTTTATTCGACTCGTTTTTTATTACTTATAGTATTATATTTCCTAGAGTAGCATCTCTCTCTCACAAAGATTGCTATTAGTCATGGGACTGCCATTTTCTCTGGAAAAAAAAACATAAAAGTTCACAAACTAACGACAACGTAGGATATTGTACACGACTGAAGTACATCGTTACTAGAGACAACAAATCATAATAATGTCCGCTTTTACTCTACTGCCGAGTCGCTGATAGAAATTCCATTATTATAGAACTATTTTTCTATTACAATAACCAATAATGCATCTTTAATAGTAATGTTAATATTTTGTTATCACTTTGTTTTATAATATTCATTGATTATGTTTTATAAAAGTATTAACAACCATGTATAGTAATAAAAAATCTTCACATCTTTATAGGAAATATTTTAATGATATTTTTTTATACGGATCTCTTTCTAATTAATAGTTTTTTCTAACTTTATATATGTTTTTTTCACATTTTTATATTATATAATTATATTTATATAAGAAATTTAGAACCCGTAAGAATCTGTATTACGTCACTATTTTGAGATTAATAAAGATAGCCTACTTTGAAAAATCTAAATGACAAAGAGTTATATTTAGAATCAAGTAATTTATATATACAAACTACTCTTTATTATGAATAAATTGTGGAAAAAAGGTATTAGGGAAAATTACACTAACAATAAGAAGAATTAAACAAAAAAATATAACGTTTAACTTTGAACGTGATGAGATCTGAGATGAAATTAGTTTCTCTTGTGAATAATTGTGTTCAGTTATAGCCAAGACTTTGAACTTCTTTATGTTAAGAAAATATATAACGCTTGTCAATCAAAATTACCATTTATATTATGCAATATAAAATTATAAATTTTATTATGCATATATAACATGCGGTGTAATATTAATTGTATTATGCAGTATAATATTAATAATAAGCAATTATTGCAAATTACGAAAAAGCTTCAGAATCCAAAAATATGGCAAGAAATAGAATATCTTTTCTCTTGATCAAAAATTTTTGTTAGTTTTACATATTATAAGTAAAATATTTAATTTTTAATTACCTTCACCGAATAAATTGCTTTGTCAATTCTCTTTTCATCGCGAGCTTTTCTTATGCATATATAACATGCGGTATAATATTAATTGTATTATGCAGTATAATATTAATAATAAGCAATTATTGCAAATTACGAAAAAGCTTCAGAATCCAAAAATATGGCAAGAAATAGAATATCTTTTCTCTTGATCAAAAATTTTTGTTAGTTTTACATATTATAAGTAAAATATTTAATTTTTAATTACCTTCACCGAATAAATTGCTTTGTCAATTCTCTTTTCGTCGCGAGCTTTTCTTCATTTTTGAAAGATTGCGTCAACCTTTTCGTTTTTCAGTTTGATCTCTTTTTTTTTGCGTTTGGCGGACAAAGAGAAGCATGTGACGATGCCGAGTAGAGTATCCGAGCCAGTCCCATAAATAGAAGGGCATATGAATTTACCTGGGGGGGGGGGGGTACATT